CTCAGTAAATATTTTCTAACTCTCAGTAAATATTTTCTAACACTCAGTAAATATTTTCTAACTCTCAGTATATATTTTCTAACTCTCAGTATATATTTTCTAACACTCAGTAAATATTTTCTAACTCTCAGTATATATTTTCTAACTCTCAGTATATATTTTCTAACTCTCAGTATATATTTTCTAACTCTCAGTACAGATCTTTGAACTCTCAGTATTTCGTTTTGAACGTCTTCCTGTCTGTCCACAGCTGACGCTCTACGGACAGAAGTTCGACGAGTTTCAGGCGACGCTGGCTAAAAGCAACGAGATCTATGTGCGCTTCAGGAAGGAGATGGATAACGTAGGTTTTAGATCAGGTTCTGCTCGGGTCCACCCCGGTCTTCATGTGGTTCAGTTTTTTTTTTTCATGTTGGAGTCTCTTTGGGTTCAGGGTTTTACCCTCAGATCTTTATGTTTGTTTGGTTTTCAGATGACAGAAAAGATGAAGAAAGTGGAGAAAGAGTCGAACCTTTGGAAGACCAGGTTTGAGAACTGCAACAAGGCTCTGACCGACATGATCGAGGAGGTCCGTCTGAACTTAACCTTCTTTTTGACGTCCAACTAATGTGGATTAAATAATCCTCCAGTTCAGGAACTTTAAATGAGGTAAATTTGAATTTAACCTGATGTTTTGTCTCCAGAGGACTGAGAAAGGACAGGAGTACGACCTGTTTGTCCTGAAGATCCAGAAGCTGGAGAAGTTGTGTCGCGCTCTGCAGGAGGAGAGGAAAGGTCTTTACCAGAAGATCAAAGAGGTCTGTCAGTCCAACGCCAACCTCCCCAAAGTCTTCTTCAACCTGGTCGCTGATGAAGCCCCCGTCCCCGAGGACCACCAGGAGCAGGAGGAGGAGGACCCGGTCCTGACGGAGAACATCGCCCGTCTGAGGGACGAACAGGCCAAGCTGCAGGAGATCGCCGCCTCCCTGCTGGGCTCGCCGGACCCCGAGGAGGAGGAGGACCTGGACCTGGACCAGAACCTGGAAGAAGACGAGGTCGTCTCTGCATTTGTCCGGTTTAAATCTAAAACTCAGACCAGCGAGGGTCCAGAAGACCTGAAACCACCAATGTCTAAAGACAAGGACCAGAGTCCAAAAGCTGAAGGTCCAAGTTCAGAAGCCATCAAGATGAAGACCGATCCAGAGACGTCAGGAGTCCAGACACAAGTCCACGTCAGAGAACAGAAACCAGACAAGGCTGAGGAAGAGATCCAGAAACCTGCTGAACCCACCCCAGAACCTGAGACCCCCAAGACTGGGCCGGAACCAGAAGCATCAAAGGTTCAGGAGACCAGTGAAGTCCAACCAACTCTCCCAGTGGAGGACAAGATGTCCCAGCAGACTGTTGGACCGAACCCAGAACCTCAGACACCAAACCCAGAGCCAACAAATTCTGAGACCCTGGAGGAGACAGGTGGGGTCAGAGCCGTCCCCCCAGCAGAAGCTGGAGATCAGGAACCAGAAGAACCAAGTCCAGCTTCTGAGAAAGCAGCCGAGTCTTCTGTGAAGCAGGCGCCGAAGAAAAAGAAGAAGAGGAGCAGCAGGAGCTGAACTTCAGGAGGTCCTGGAGGAGGTTCTGGAGCCGGGTTTGACTGAAGTGACTTGATTTTATAACGTTTAAAGTGTGGAGTTTTTGGGGGGTTGTCTCTGATCCAGAACCAGTGGAGGAGGACAGGGATTTAGTTTTTACAGGTTTAATCCAGACAGAGATGAAAATAAACTAACTTTAATATTTACGTTACAGTCTGAATGAAAATAAATGAATTTAAATAAACTAAATGTTGGCATCTAAATAAAAATAAAGTTTCTGTTTTGTTAACTGGAGAACATCAGGCTGCAGTTCTTCTGCTCACCACAAGATGGCGGCAAACTGTTTCTTTTACTTTACATTTACAATTCAGTTTAAAAAGATCAAACTTTAACTCAAACTGAATTAAACTGAAACATAAACAAATTATCTAATCCTGATTAAAACAAACAATATTAAGC